AGCAGGGGGAAATGGAGGCGGCGTCCTGGGACCCTCCCGGCCGCCTCTTGGCCTTCCTCCCCCCTCCTCCCCCCTCTTCCTCCCAGGCAACGTACCAGCCTCTCCACCCGCTCCTGGCGCTGCTGGTCCAGGGAGACGGGATCCACCCGGCCCAGCTGGGTGGGGTCCAGGGTGATCAGCTCCGACGGGATCTGCAAAGAGAGAGAAGAGCCCCGGCGTGAGGGAAAAAGAGCGGGGCTCCTCCCCCCACAGGGCCCCCAATCCGGGGCCAGGAAGGGAAGCTCCAGCTGCATGGGGGGGGGGGCAAGAGGGGGGCTCACCTTGTCCAGGAAAGCCTTGACCTCCCACTCCTGCCTCTGCCTCCGGCTGCGGAAGGGGTTGTTCTCCAGGGCGTCAAAGTTCGGCTCCCCGGCACCTACGAGGCAACCCGGTCAGAGGCACGGTCTCCTCCCCAAACAGGGTGGCCCCCCCCTCAGAGCCACACACACACCCCCGTCCCCGCTTACCTGGGACCAGCAGGCTGGCGAAGCCCTGCGCGTGCCCCACGCCCAGCACGTCCTCAAAGGGGCAGAAGCGGAGCCCGTGGGAGGGGCCGGGCAGCCTGTGGCACAGGTAGGGCTTCTGGGGCGGGCAGACCGAGACGTCCTTGTACACCTGGGGGGGGGGGGGGGCAGAGGGGGGGGGCCCGGGGGGGCTGGGGCGGGGGGGGGGGGGGGGGGGGGGGGGAGGGCCAGGCCCAGCCCGCGTCGTCCGCGCTCACCTGCACCACCTCCTGGCAGGCGGCCCCCAGAAGCCCCCGCTGGCTGAAATCCAGCAGCCCGGCCCCGCAGGGCAGCAGCAAGGAGTGGAGGCGCCGATACGCCCGGAGGTCGTAGATGTGGAGCTTGTGGTCCAGCCCGGACGTGGCCATGTAGCTGCGAGGGAAGGAGGCGTTCTGCGTTGCCCGTGGACCTCCCCCCCCCCCCCGTGTGCCGTCCCCCCCCCGTCTGCTCACCTCCCGGAGGGCTCGACCGCCACGGCCCTGACGGCCCCCTGGTGGCACAGCATCCGGGCAAGCGGGGCCTTGGCGCTGGGGCTCCAGAGCGTCACCGTCCCTGCAGAGGGAGGGAGGG